CGTGTGTATTCAATTAGCAAAAAGTCAAGAGTGGAGCAGTGGCTTAAATGGCAGAGCACTATCCTTGAATGAAAAGCTAAGGGAGAACATCCTGACCCCGGGTTCAAGCCCCAAGACTGGCATACACACAAAATAGAAAGATTATTGGGGGTGCTGGGAATGTGGTTTAGTGGTAGAGTACTTGCCTAGCATGTATGAAGTCTTAGGTTTGATTCCTCAGTACCACATAGAAAAAGCTGGGCTGGGGCTGGGAAGATGGCTCAGTGGTAGAGCACTTGCCTTGCATGCCTGAGGCCCTGGGTTCAATTCCTTGGCACCATATAAGCAAAAAGAAAAAAGCCAGGCCGGGCGCTGGTGGCTCACGCCTGTAATCCTAGCTACTCAGGAGGCTGAGATCTGAGGATCGCGGTTCAAAGCCAGCCCGGGCAGGAAAGACCGTGAGACTCCTATCTCCAATAAACCACCAGAAAACTGGAAGTGGCGCTGTAGCTCAAGTGGGAGAGCGCTCGCCTTGAGCTGAAGAGCTGAGGGACAGCGCCCAGGCCCAGAGTTCAAGCCCCACGACCGACAAAAAGAAAAAAAAAAGAAAAAAGCCAGAAGTGGCGCTGTGGCTCAAGTGATAGAGGACTGGCCTTGAGCTGAAGAGCTGAGGGGCAGCGCCCAGGCCCAGAGTTCAGGCCCCACGACCAGACACACACACACACACACACAAAAAGTAAAAGCCGGGCTAGCACCTGTGGCTCATGCCTGTAATCCTAGTTACTCAGGAGGCTGAGATCTGAGGATTGTGATTCAAAGCCAGCCTGAAGGAAAGTTGATGACTCATCTCCAATTAACCACCAGAAAACCCAAAGTGGTGCTGTAGCTCAAGTGATAGAGTACTCACCTTGAGCTGAAGAGCTGAGGTACATTGCCTAGGCCTGGAATTCAAGCCCCATGACTGACCAAAAAAAGAAAAGAAAAAGAAAAAGCTGGAAGTTGCGCCATGTTGCTCGAGTGGTAGAGTGCTAGCCTTGAGCAAAAGAAACTCAGGAACAGTGCCCAGGCCCTGAATTCAAGCCCTAGGACTGGCAAAAAAAAAAAAAAAAAAAAGATTATTGGCAAAGATAACTACATAAGTAAATATAAAAAGCTTATTGCATTTTTTGTTTACAGTCTTTTATATGATTTAAAACTAAATACATGAGGGCTGGGAAGGTGGCTCAGTGGTGGAGTGCTTGCTTTGCATGCATGAAGCCCCGGGTTCAATTCCTCAGCACCACATAAGCAGAAAAAGCCAGAAGTGGTGCTGTGGCTCAAGTGGTAGAGCGCTAGCCTTGAGCTGAAGAGCTGAGGGACAGCGCCCAGGCCCAGAGTTCAGGCCCCAGACCAGCCAAAAAAAAAAAACAAAAACATGAAGCAATAATTACAAATGTATGTTATGTATGAAATTTATAAATATGAATGTATAAAATAGCAACCCAAAGACAGGGGATAGAACTGATAAGAGCAATTAATTACTGTATGCTATTAAAGCTAAGATGATGTCAGTTCAATCTAATTGCCCTATATGTATCTATATCCTCTTTAGTGCAGTTCAGTAAATTTGTGTTAGTACAATTCAATAATTTGTGTCCTGCCATCTATTCTCCATTTTGCCTACATTGTAAAAAGTTACTCCTAATACTTTCTCTTACATTTCTTGTCTGTAGAACCTGTAGTGATGTCACTCACCTCTGTCATTCCTACTATTGGTGATTTTTTTTGTCTTTTGTTGTTTTGTGTGTGTGTGTGTTTTTTTCTTCTGGATCCATTTTGTTGATTATCTCAAGAAGCAGGTTTGGTTTCATGATTTTCCCCTTTCTATTTTCTTTTTTTGGGGGGGGTCCAGTGGTGGGCCTGAACTCTGGGTCTGGGTGCTGTCCTTCAGCTCTTCAGCTCAAGGCTAGCGCTCTACCACTTGAGCCACAGCGCCACTTCCGGCTTTTTTCTTTTTGCTTATGTGGTGCTGAGGAATCGAACCCAGGGCCTCATGCATGCAAGGTAAGCGCTCTACCACTGAGCCACCTTCCCAGTCCTCCCCTTTCTATTTTCAAGTGTAATTGATTTCTACACTGGTAACTTTTTTTGTTTTGTTTCATTTTTCTTCTGATGTTCTAAATAGAGACATTCTATTTTATAGGCCTCCTCCAGATTCTGCTTTTTTATTTCTATTCAGTTCAAAATATGTGCTAATTATTCTTTGATCCAAGTGTTTTATCCCATTTCTAAATATCTGAGGATTTCCCAAGGATCTTCCCCCCCCCCCCCCCCAAGGATCTTTTTGCTACTGATCTCTGACATTCTGTTGTGACTTTGTCCTCATTACCCTCTATATACTGATTGAGAGCTGTTCCCTTCTTCCTTCCTTCCTTCCTTCCTTCCTTCCTTCCTTCCTTCCTTCCTTTCTTTCTTTCTTTCTTTCTTTCTTTCTTTCTTTCTTTCTTTCTTTCTTTCTTTCTTTCTTTCTTTCTTTTCTGGACATGGGCCTGAACTCTGGGCCTGGGTGCTATCCCTCAGCTTTTCAGCTCAAGGCCTGTGCTCTACCACTTGAGCCACAGCTCCATTCTGGCTTTTTGGTAGTTTATTGGCTGTTAGTGAAATGAGTCCCTTCCCATAGCTTAGTTCACTCCTTCCCTCTCCACAGCTTAGCATGCTCCCTTCCTAGGTAACAGGAGGCCCATGAAGTAAAAGCAGTAAATAACTTCCAACCCCCTCTACCTTGGGATGGCATTTCTCTGGGGCAGCTACCACCATATAAAGCAACAGGAGCCCCTTAAATTGACCTTCAGGTCTGGGCAGCTGAGGACCCCTTATTTACTACTTGGATAGCAGCCATAAGTCCTGATGAAGCCCCTGGCCCACACATCCACACCAAGGTCTCCGCCTCCTAGCCCCTTCTAGCTCCTCCTAAGCCTCCTAGGTTATATAGGTCACGTCAGACAGTAGCCGGTGCTGCTTCTCCCTTCTCCCTTGTGAGAAGGGGTCTTGCCGGCCCCCTTTCCTGGCAATAAGCCTTCCTTTGTTCTCTGTACCTGGATGTCTGTGTGGTTCTTTGGCAAAGTCTAATAATCTAGCATTAGAGATAAAGAGTCTTACAAACTTTCCTCCCTGGGATGGCTTTGAACTGTGGTCTTCAAATTTGTGTCCTGAGTAGTAGGATTACAGGCATGAGCCACTGTGAGAGTTGTTCTCTTGATTGTCCTTGGTGGTTTCTATCCCCCTGGGTTTTATTTTCCAATCATCTGTGATGAGAAGAGGATTTGGTATAAAACTATAAGCATACATGCAAAAATTATATGTATGGGGGGGCAGTTGTGGAGGTGGGAGGGAAAGGATGGTAGGGAGAAAACAAAGGAGGAGGCAACAATGCTCAATAGGAAATGTACTCATTACCTTACTAATGTAACTAACCCCTCTGTACAGCATTTTTTTGTTTTGTTTTGCTTTTTTTTTTCTTTTGCCAGTCATGGTGCCTGAACTCTGAGCCTGGGCACTGTCCTTCAGCTCTTCAGCTCAAGACTAGCGCTCTACCACTTGAGCCACCAGCACCACTTCCAGGTTTTTCTGCTTATGTGGTGCTGAGGAATCGAACCCAGGGCCTCATGTATGCAAGGCAAGCACTCTACCACTGAGCCACCTTCCCAGCCCCACTGTACAGCATTTTTTACAATTAAAAACATACCAAAATAAAGATTTTTCTCGGGCTGGGAAGGTGGCTCAGTGGTAGAGCACTTGCCTTGCATGCATGAGGCCCTGGGTTCGATTCCTCAGCACCACATAAGCAAAAAAAAAAAAAACTGGAAGTGGCGCTGTGGCTCAAGTGGTAGAGAGCTAGCCTTGAGTTGAAGAGCTGAGGGACAGCACCCAGGCCCAGAGTTCAGGCTCCACGACTGGACCAAAAAAAAAAAAAAAAAGATTTTCTCCTTCATAATCTTCTTTATAATTATTTTAGGTTATATACTTATACTTTGTTTTGAATAATACTTTGTATAGTATGCAAGGTAGAGTGGAATTTCTTCTTTATTTCATTTTTTAAAATAAGGATGCCAAGTTATTTCAGCATAATTTCTTGAAAAAAGTTCTCTTTCTAAGTGAATTGGCTTGAAAATTTGTCACAAATTAATATTTACTTCATGACAAAAAAATTATATATATATGGGCACTCATTTAAGCTATGTGAGGACCTGCATTCAATAAGAAAAGAGCTCTCTTGTGCACTTGTCCGAGTTTCTCTCGATGGAGTATTTGGCAAAACTGTAATCACAAACAGGATATTGAAACCAGTAAAGTCCACTTATTCAGATTTCTGAGTGAGTGTGGGCCATTTTGATGATCAGACCAGGAAAGCTTTGACCCAAGATTGCCAAAGTTTCACTGACCCCTTTGTTCTGCTGGTGTTTCCCCAAAACCTCCAAGAGGTGATCACGAGAAGCTTAACATTCAAGACTGTACATACTGGGCTTCTTTTTATGTCTTCACTTATTCCTCCCGACAGCTGCTCCTCTGATGGTCCCACAACTGGGCACATGCCCACTGGGCCCTAGGCCTCTCGAGCCTGGCCAGAGTCCTAAACTTGAGGGGATGGATGGTGCGGGAGAGATGAGGGAGACTGGTGGAAGACGTAACGCTGACCAAGATGCATCGTACAAACTGACATGTTGAACTGAAGCCTCTTTGTACTAAAGACAATTAAACAACAAAAAAACAACCGTGTTAGGTCATGGAGTGACCCTAAACTCGGGCTTCATCCAGAAAGGTGAAGCCAGCCTCAGGAACTGACTTCCAGCGCCCGGAGTTGGCGCTGTGGCCTGGGCTGCGCCCACCCCCACCAACCGCGCGGCCCTCGACTGCCCCCTGCAGCTGTGGGGTGGTCCTGCAAGCCGGCCGTCCCCGCCTTCACACCGCCCACCCTCCTCTGGATTGGAGGCTCCGGAAGACTCCTTTCACCACGGGATTGGTTGCGGCCAGGCCGTGGCCCCGCCCACCTCCCGGGTCCTTTGATCACGCGCACGCCTGTTCTTCCGGGGCCAGGGAGCCAACTCGGGGCGTTCCGGTCGGCGCTGCAGCAGCGGGAGGTAAGGCACGGCGGGGGAGGATTGGCTGCGGAGCGCCCTGTTGGGTCCGCGCCTCGGGGTGCCGAGATTCCAGGCCGCCCCGTGAGGGTTGGCCCCTCGGCGCTCTTCCGACACCCCGGAGCCTCCCACCTTGGTGAGAGCTACCCCTGTCCGCCTAGGCGCGGCCCGATGCCCGCTCCATCCGGGCTTACCACCTCGGTCCGGGACCGGGAGCTTGCGACTGAGCACCGGCAAACCCAGTGCCCCGCGGACTCGAGTCTCGTAGCTTGTTATCTTGTCCCCCGGATAGACCCGAGCGAACCCGGGGTACGAACTCGGGGCGTCCTGTGCAACAGCCCCAGGGCGATCTCTCTCCTGACTGGGCTGACCCTCCACCTCCGCGGTCAGCCCAGGACAGGAGGGAGGGACCTGGGCGGAGCCCCGGCTGGGGACCAGAGGGCGGTGACATCATCTCGAAGATTGAGTCCAGCTCTACCCAGTGTCCACACTGGCACGAGACCGTTGCTGCGTCTAGGGTGACAAGAAGGGCATACAAGTCTAGGCCTGGGGCTCTCAGCCAGAAGAGGGGGGTTAAATCGGGACTCAGGACTAAATCACCCTAAGGCGTCGGTGTAGGACCCTCCGGTTTATTTAATCTTTCTGTTTTGCTTCACTGGATAGGTGCTGACATTCCCAGTGGTCTGGAGCAGGAGCCGAGAAACTGCACCTAACCTTTCCCCAGCAGTGGAGACTTGCAAATGTTGAACCAGTATCTAAGCTGGGCCCCACCCAGATGTAGGCATAGGAGCTGGGCAGGAAGCAGGCTCTGGAGCTGGGCCTTCCGTGGTTCCCTTCCCACCAGCTAAGAGCAGCAGGGGGAGGAATCACTCAGCAGACACCTACCTGGATATATTGGCTGACCTGAGTTTTCACAGATCTCCAGCTCCAGGGGAGGGACCAGAGTGTGTTGTTAACTCTGTAGGCAGAATTGATAAACCTCCCTTCCTCTCCCAGGGAGCCCAGTGGAGGCGCCCTCCCGAGGCGCTGCTGCCCATGCTGACCACCCAGCTCTCCACCTGCCGATGTCATGAGTAACACGACAGTGCCCAATGCCCCCCAAGCCAACAGTGACTCCATGGTGGGTTATGTGTTGGGGCCCTTCTTCCTCATCACCTTGGTCGGAGTGGTGGTGGCTGTGGTAAGGAGCCTCCGACATACACAAATAGACATCCACACCTTTGCCAAGGCATGTGCTGGGTGGGCCTAGTCTAGTGCACATAGCATCTCAGTTGTTCCTTAATGGAGAGAAGGGGGTAGAGGTTGGTACTCCCAAACAGTGGGCCTATCTGGGCACCACAGCCTTCCTTCACAGTGCTGTCTCTGTTACAGGTAATGTATATCCAGAAGAAAAAGCGGTGAGTGTTCTGCCCCTGCCCCACCCCCACGTCCAGATTTCTTCCCTATACTAAGTTCTCTACTTTCTGTTGATACATACACCTCAGCTATCCAGATCCAAGATAGGGCACTTTGTTCTCACCGGTCCTGCTCTTAGCTTCCTCATTGGGATGACCCCTTTCATAGCCCCAGGGTCAGGAATACCTAATTCATGTCAGGAGGTGGACATGAGGCAGTCTGCTGTCCAGTGGAGCTGGGGTTAATCCCCTCCTATTCCCCAGGGTGGACCGCCTTCGCCATCACCTCCTCCCCATGTACAGCTACGACCCTGCTGAGGAGCTGCATGAGGCAGAGCAGGAGCTTCTCTCTGATGTGGGAGACCCCAAGGTGAGCACTCTAAGGGGACAGTGAAGGCGGGAGCACTTGTTCTTGCCCTTACTTGCTCAAACCAGAGCCTGGAAAGAGCTTTTGCACTCTTCCATATGACTATGAAGGGTGAGGGGTTCCCTGCAGACTTCCAGGAGGCCAAACCCAACCCTCAAGCATGGCTTCTCCCCACAGGTGGTACACGGCTGGCAGAGCGGCTACCAGCACAAGCGGATGCCCTTGCTGGATGTCAAGACCTGACCCCATAGCCCTGACCTACAGAACCCCTAGGGTGGGTCTTACAGTTGCCCCAAGCACTGGGCCTTCAATTCTTTCCCACTTATCCATCAACCCTGTGGACTAAGGCTACACCCACCCCAAGGCAGCTTTCCCCTTGGGGTGGGTGGGGCTGCTGGGAGATAGCTTTGCTTTCTCCAGCCTGCCTGGACTTGGCTTTGGCATAAATCCCCCAAGAGGGTTTTGGAACTGTTTCCATGGTGACCAACCCAGATGTATAGCACTCAGTACATACACACATATATATATATTGTAAATAAAATGTTTTGTGGCTGGTAATGTGGGTTATTTTTTAAGGGCTTAAAAGGACTTCCCTGCTGCTACTGCATTGCCCTCCTGTCCCCAGCCTGTGGGGAGTGAAAACAAGGCCAGCGGCCTGGTTTTCTCCTCTGTACACATTCTAAGTCTAGAACACAAACCACAAACTCCATTCCAGAAAAGGATATTTTTATTCAAGTAACTGCAAATAGGAAACCAAAGGGGGAGCCCCAGGCTGGGACAAGTAATGGCCACCCCTCCCCAACAGGACAAGGGGAGACAGTGGCCCCTACACCCTTCACACAATCAACATGGACCCCCCCCAACTCAGCTGCAGCATCCTCGGGGCAGGACCCCACCTTCCCTGGGACTGGGGTGGTCTGCAACCCAGCCTGCTGTGCCCCAGACCCCCTTCCCCCATGAAGTATCCTGGGGGAGGAGGGGACCGTGGGCTGAATGGGAGGCTATGAACTGAATGTTTGGCGCTGGTAGCAGCAGCAATGATGATGTCTAAGAATGAAACATTGAACAAAAAAAATCAACACAACTGTCCAGAGGTAGTTTGTGAACAGAGGAAAAGATGGAACCAGAACCTTGGGGGGTGGGCAGGCGAGGGAGGGGGTAGGCAGGGCGAGCTCCTTATTAGTGCCCCACAGATGAGGGGAACCGCCTAGAGCAGAAGTGGGGATGCTAGATCCCATGGGAAAGCTGGGGGGGTGGGGCCCCACCTCTTGCCCTCTTACCTGTTCCCCACAAGGGGTTGTCCAACCCAGTGCAGGGGAGCAGGGGAGGTGAGGGAGAGCAGTATGGGCCACTGGGGACAGTTTGGCTGGGGGACGAATACCCCCTGTTGATGCCAGTATAGCCAGAGTGGGCATGTCAAAATGGATGGGGCATGGGCCCCCGTAAGGCCAGGGGAGCCCTCCCAGGCCCCTTTAAGGGAAGCTAGAGGCAACAGTGGAGGAGCAGAGCAAGTTCCCAAACCAAGAGCTCAGAGAGCAATTTCTCCACAAGGGAGTGGGGGCGCAGCAGGTGCACGCTGCGGCTAAGTGGGAAGTTAGCCTTGTCTGGGAGAGGCAGGTGTGCGTGGGTGGGAAGGGCGCGGGGAGGTGGAGGAAAGCACTCCCCACTCGCCACAGGAGCCCTGCAGCGCTGGTGTGCTGTAGTGTGCGGTGGGGAGGGCACATGGGGACTGGGGGCAGTTTGGGGCGGGGGGAGGGAGGGGGGCTGTGGGAGCTGAACGAAGCTGTCCAGTCCCAGAGGGAAGCTGCTCCTGGCCAGGGAGCAGTCGGCACTGTGCGGTCACTGCTCCTCCTCTGAGGACTCCTGGGAGATGCCCTCTTCTTCCTCCTTCTCCTGTAGGGAGGGCAGAGCAGCTCTGGTCCTGACCTCCCTCTGCCCAAGGCTCCCCCCACTCCCCACAGGCTCTCCAGAAGGGGGATGAGTCAGGCCTGAGTGTGTGGGTGAGTCAGCAACCTCCGTGCAGCTTTCATTCATAAAAACGAAGGATTTAAAAGGAGGAAAAAAACCACACACATGCTATGCTGCTCTGTCTGGCACAGCAGCAGAGCCAGGCCCCTCAGCCCCCAGGTGGCTCAGGCAAGACAGAGCCCCAAGGCATGGAGGAAAGCACTTGGCTCTCTAGGGCAGGAAATGGGAAGAGGCCAACAGGAGGAGATGCCAGGCCCTGGGTGGGCACAGGAGCCCTGACTCCGGGTTGTCCTTGGGTGGCCCAGGGCTGACCCCAGCCCAGGGTGGAGAGGAAGGGAAGTGTGTGCTACAGCAGGGCTCACTCACTGGGCGGGAATGTCAGGACACCACAGGGCCCCACAGCCGCGTGCCAGGCACAAACTCCAAAACAACTTGTTTCCTGTTACTCACTTCTGGACCCTGGCCAGAAGTGCCCCCTACTCCCCCCCCCCCCCCACCCCAGCAGTGGCTTAGCTCAAGGAGTGAATGTCTTAGGGAGTTGAGAAACAGGTTATATGTGTAGAAAAGAGCCAGGTGCAGGAAGTCTGGGGTGGGGTGCCTGTCACTGCATGGTACCCTGAAAGTGCCCTGTCTTAGCCCACAACCAATTTGGAGACCCAAGAATGGGATGGTACCTCCCTTCCCATGAGCAGTGATAGAATTGCCTTGTAACTCCCACTTCCTGCAGAACCCCAAGACGAGATCCTCTGCTACTTCTTCCTCTAAGAGAAGCCTATTAAGGATTCATTCCATTCACCCTAACTGGAGGAACATGAGATGAAACACAGACACCCCTTTTCTAGAACACTATATGAGAACCCTCACTTCTGAAAGGCACAGAACTTTAAAAGCCCTGGGCAGACAATGTGGTGGCACACACCTGCACTTCTAGTACTAGGAAGTAGAGGCAGAAGGAGAGTTCAAGTCCAGTGTGGGCTACGTGCACACCAAAACACAAGGCTCCTCTGGAACAACAGTACTAGTTGTCTTAGTACTTGCTGGCCCCAAAGGTGTCAGTAGTTTTTCCACGGTAGATACACAGAATTAACCTCCTCTTCCCCACAATTAAGCCCCCAAGCAAGGAACACATACCAGTTTTTTGGGTCTGCCCCTTGGTTTCCTTCCTGGAGCTGTGGTGGTTTTCTAGAAGATCAGAAAGCAAAAAAACATACCTTAAGTAAAAATAAAAAAAACACTGGGCTGTGCTCCCCAAGGCCTGCAGCCTTGCAGGGAGGGAAGGGAGCAGGGCAGAAGGGCAGGCAGACTGCCTACCTCTGCTCAGGGCAGTCCAGGACCCCATTCCAGCAGGCCTACCCCAAGGCCAGCTGCTGATGACTGGTCAGCCACACCTGTCCCCCACCCAGCACCCACCCACCCACGACCCCTTCTTCCTCCAGCTGTGACTCAGAGGATATGAGTCGTGTCTTAGAAAAAATAAAAATAAAAAAACAATTTTCCTGAAAGGATGCCACTGTGAATGTGGCCCTCTCCTCTTGACCCTACCACCTACCCCTTTAGGTTCCGGAATAAAAGTGACATGTTGGTGGTCTGGATCTGGCAGAATCCCTTCAATTTCCTCTACCTTATCTTTCTTCTCTAGACCAGGATAGCTACAGACTCCTGACTTGATTTCCCCATTGATCCTGGGGCAGGATCAATCAGGGCCACTCATGTTGAGATCTCAGTCCCCATTGCAGTTACTCATGTTATCAGAGACCCAGGGTGAGAGATGCAGCCTTGCAGCCCTCCGCAGAGCTGCTGAGCACCTTTGCTCTCATCTGCCCAGGGCAGCCCATCTCAAGCCTCACCCGGGTCTTGGCAGCACCCTTGTTTTTGCTCCCCTTTGGTCGGCCGCGAGGTCTCTTAGGTGTTGGCACTTCACTGGGTTCCTTCTGAAATGACAAATGGGCAACAATCAGGGACCCAGCTACCACTTGCACCACCCCAGTGGAGTTAAGTCACCCCAACAATGGGCAGCAGGCCACCACCCAATCTGACCATCTTAAACCAGCTAGACACCCCTCTAGGGCTGTCCTCAAAGAAGAGGAATTATACCCAAGACCTCAGACATGCTGGTCCTTATTGCTGTTGCTAAGCCCAAAGAAAGAAGCTTCCATACAAGATGAGGAAGCTGGGCAGGATAGTCATACTGGCCACTGTCCCAGGGACAGGGATATTCAAGTATTCAGAACCATGGTCCATTAGTGTTGACCATAGGTGGGGAGGAAGGGGGGCTTGCCTGGCTCAGATGCCAGGGGACAGCTAAATTCCACCACTCTTCTCAGTTAAGAAATTGGGCTTCACCAACAGCTACCCCTCACGTGGGAGACAAGACAGATGCCTCTATGAAAGGCAAGCTCGGGGCTGGGAAGGTGGCTCAGTGGTAGAGCACTTGCCTTGCATGCCTGAGGCCCTGGGTTCGATTCCTCAGCACCACAAAAGCAAAAAGAGAAAAGCCACAAGTGGCGCAAGTGGTAGAGCGCTAGCCTTGAGCTGAAGGACAGCACCCAGGCCCAGAGTTCAGGCCCCACGACCGGACCTTGGGGGGGGGGGGGGGGGGGGGGGGGGAGAAGGCAAATTCCTAGTCATACAGCAGCGGCTTTGTCACCCAATCCTCAACTGCCCACTGGGATACCTCACTTTCTACCAGGTTGATAACTTTAAATTTCTTCATCTTCAATATCTGTTCATTTACAGAGCCTGAAGCAAGGCCTACTACAGGACTATTCAGTGTGTAGCCCAAAACATGACTGGCCTAAGTCTGGGCTCTTTTGGCACTGTGACAAAATAATTTTATTAAACCTTGGGATTCTAATAAATTTATGGCCGTACATTTAAAAGTTATAGGTCAGTGTGAAGAGCATTTGCCTATCCTGCACGAGGCTTTCATTCCCATCCATAACAGGGCAAAAAATATATACTTTCTTCTTGGCAGTACTGAAGTTGAAACTTGGCCTCGGGCTTGCTAAGCAGTTGCTTTACCACTTCAGGCAAACCCTCAGCCACGGTTTGTTGGCATTTTTAAATTTTGAGAGCAGCTGTGCTGTATAGTCCAGATTGGCCTCGGAACTCATGATCTTCCTTACCCCTGCCTCTTCAAAGTTGGTTGCAGGTATGCACTTACATACCTGACTATACTTGTGGTACTGAAGAGTTGAACACAGGGCAGCTTCATGCATGACGGGCAAGTACTCTACCACTAAGCCACCTTCCAGCCCTATCCTTTCACTTTTAGAACTATATTAAAAATGATCATCTTGGTCCTCAAGTGGTCTGTAAGGTTGGCTTACCATAGTGTAAGCGCTGGGTCACCTCTAGCTTAGACTTATTTGTGTGTGGCAGGGGAGATAAAATGGACCTGTATACATCAGCCCCAGAATTTTCTGAGAGTATCTGGAGGACCTCACTATGAGTTCTCATGCAGGTTATAAGCACGCTGGAGAACAGGGACACACATGCCTACAGGAATGATTCCATTCTCCTATGCATAGTCAGTCATTCACACGACTAGCTACTAAACACCTCTCTGGCCCAAAAAGGTAAAGCAAGACAAAGCTTCAAAACCCACCTGACTCCCTACTAGCGTTGTCCCTGGACTCACCGGAGGCTGCTTCCGTGGCCTGCCCCGGCCTCGCTTCTCAGTACCGTCCTTTTCCTGCTTGGAGGCCAAGGGCTGGCTAGACTTTGAGCTCGACTCACTCATCTTCTTTCACTTTGGAGGTCAACAGTGATGCTGGGATGCTGAGAGACAGGTAAAGTGTTTTTAAACACATCATGCATCAACTTCCCCCTGTCCACTCCCCTACAAAGGCTCACTGTGCAAACTGCCTGGTCCCAGTGGCCACAGGACTCCCACTAGAACCAGGATGGCAAGCTCTGCACACTGGAGCATGCTGCAGTGTAAGAGAGGGTTATTGGTCCTAATCAGCAATTTGTCTCTTGCTCAGAAGGCCTTTGTTGTCCCTCTCCTAGTGGGTTTGAGCAAGTTCTAGGGTCCCACCACTGCCAAGGGCCCCTCTCCTATAAGGGAGGTACCATACTCACTTAGGAGAGGAAACCATGACCAGACAGTTCAGAGGGCATGAGAAGTGGGTAGATGATCTTGGACATCAACCTCTGCCCAGCACACTGACAAGGCTGCCAGAGGACCAACTGCCAAGGGCCCAAACATGGGCAGACCAGGAGCCTAGCCCACCCCCCCCATCCTCTGCTCTCTCCTAGGGTAAGTCACTGAGGATGCTGTAGTGTGGACAGGTGAGGGAGAGATGGCTAGCCCTGCAGTGGCAATGGGGAGGTAGAAGGGACAGAACACAGGGCAGCCCACCTGCAGTCACAGGAGACTTCAAAGGCCACTTTCAGGCAGGACAGAACTATGCCATATTGAACAGTGCCCCATATATGGGGCAGTACAGTTCCTCCAGTCATTAGCCAGGTTTAGCCAGGAGGCCTGGAAGAGCTCAAGCCCCACACCTCTACAGACCAACCTCCAGCTGTCCTCCGTTAGGGGTGGCAATAGCACCCACGGCCCACTTCTGAAAGCCTATCCATCTGTAAAATGGGCTAACAAGGCCACACCTGCCTCAACACGCCCTCCAATCTGTCTCCAAGACCAACTAGAGTACTTATAGGAACCTCTATCAAAATGAGAATGAGACTGCTGGAAATTTTTCCAATTTTAACCCCATGACATGAAAATATTTTTTTGGGACTTGCGATGTTTGGAGGTATTAAGAGACCCTCCAGACAGGAGCTTTGGTAATTATTTTATTTTGCAGTATTTCAGGCTGAAGAGACCCCTTTAAGTAGGATGGTTGATTTATCCTGCTCCATCATTAGTGGCTTGGTCTGCTCTGTAATTACAGGCAGTGATTAGAATCTTATATTACACCACAGGTCCGCTTCAAACTAAACATCAAAATTAATCAGCTAAATGAGGGCTGACCTCGTAAGGTCTGCCCGAGGCCCCTAAGTGGGGCTCCCTGGGCAAAGCCAGTCCCACCCCCCCTCCCCCAAACAAGGGCCCAGCCTGCCTGGGGATTCTGGCTAGTCTCCAGCTCCTGTGCCATCTGGTGCCTCCCCCACCGCTTGCTGTTGGGGTCCCTTTATATCTCTCCCGCTTTAGGTAGCCCCCACTACATGAAGGTTTTAGGAGGCCTATCTAGGGAGGCAAAGGAAACACTTGTCTCTTCCACCTGTTTTGGAACATCAGGGAAGCTTGACTTAAAAAAGCTACATTTGCAGACCAGCACCGACTCCTGTTTTGTATTAAGTTCTTTTGAGTCTCAAGCCTGTTTCCTTAGTAGGAGTCCAGAAAATGCTAAGGAAGGCTTCAGGAATGACCCCCCGGGGACGGGGGTGGGGGGTGGGGAACCTTGGCCAACTTTATTACTTAAAAGATTAAAAAAAAAAGTTCAGAGATGCATCATGAGTAGCCCAAGGTCACACAGCAAGTTGTTGAGGATGGAGGAGGTTCATGTGACTGCTAGCGCGCCAAATCTTCGCACTGCCCAGTGTCTGTGTAAGCCCCAGCTCCAGATCCTCGGCCCGGGTGCCGGCAGTTTGTGCCTGGGGGCAGTAGGCCCGGAGTTAGGGCCGGCGGGGGGAGGGGCGCAGGCGTTCCTGCAGGCGCGGGAAAACTGCGCACCCCGACCGCATGCACCGCCACGAGGGTGCACCCGGCCCCACTTCCTGCCAGAGGGGGCACCCAAGCCCGCCTTGGGGCAGGAAACCTGGCGCGCGCTGGAGGAAGAGAACCCCCTCCCTCTACACCCTCCCCGAAAAATAAAACCCCAGGAAGAAAAGAGAAAAACACCAGAAACGGGGAGTCAAAGGGACTAGTTCCGACAGAGCCCAGCAAAGCGGAGAAACCAGTTTGTGGGGGCGGAAGGCAGGCCTGGCCCCGGGGGCTGAGGAGGCGCGGGCCGGGCCGGAGGTGGGGTCGGGGTGAAGCCCCAAACCCAGGCCCGGGATCCGGCCGCGTCTGCGCAGGAAACACCCGGAGAAAGGCCGGGTAGGGAAGCGCCGAATTTCGGGGTTCCCGCCCCTCCCCCGCACTTCCAGAAGTGTCCCCCCCCGTGCGGGGCCACCCGCCCCCCAAGGCCGCGCCGTCGCCCGCTCCCCTCCCCGCACCCCCCTCCCCCACAGCCCGGCCCGGCCGGGCTCGGCGGGAGCGGCCGCCGCGCGAGGTGCACGGGCTCCGCCGGGTGCACAACTCGCGCTCGCCGCAGCCGCGCGCCCCCTCCCCCACCGCGCGCCTCTCCCGGTCCCCGCCCCCCGCGGGGCGCCCGCCGGCCGGGGACGCGGTGCGGGCGGCCTCCCCGCGCCGCCCGGCCCCGCCGCCCGCCCCCGCGCCGCGCGGCCCTCCCCGCCCGCGGCCCGGGCCGCACGGGCCTGGGAATAAAGCCGGCGGCGCGCGCTGCAGCCCCCGGGCGGCGTGCGGGGGGCGCGGGCGCCCCCCTCGGTCCGCCGCCGGCGCCGCGGGCCCCGGAGACGACTCACCGCGAGCTCGGCCGCCGGCCTGCGGTGCGCGCTCGGGGCTGCCGGGAGCGACGGTGCTGGGCGCTGAGGACCGGCCTGGCTCCGCCGCCGCCGCTGGTAGCAAATGCGGATCTGAAACCGGGAGAGAGGGCAGAGGCGCTCAGAGACCGCCGCCGCCGCCGCGTGCTCGCCGCCCAGGCCCGCGCCGGGCATTTATATGTCACATCCAGGCGGGGGCGGGAGGGGGCAAAAATATTCCCCTCCCCCGGAGGATGGCGAGGGGCAGGAAGCTGGGCACGGCCCGCGCGCGGCCTCAATCAATAAATAATCTAATTAAATTATAGATAGAGAAATGTAGATAGAAAGAGAGAAGCCACCGGAGCGGCCGCGAACTCACGCCTTCTTGGAATCGCGCCAGCGCCAGAAATAGCCCCGGCGCGGAGTCCCAATTAGAGGAGCGCAGCCCCGGCTCAGGGGAGCTTAAAAAGAGCGACCCAGGGGCAGGGGGGACGGGCCCGCCCGCGCCAGTCGTGTCACAGGGGGCGGGGCCATGCAAATGAGCCCGGGCATTTAAAAGGGCGGCCGCCCGCCAGCCGCCGCCGCTGCCGCGCGGGTGGGTGCTGCCTGGAGCCGCGTCTGCGAGCGCCAGGCTCGCGCAGTGACCTGAGTCCGACGGACCATTCCTCAGTTTGGGAGGAGGGGGGGGCGCGGAGAAAATACGGGGAGGGGCTTCACGGGCTAGCGAAGGATCTTCCCTCGTGCGGCTTCCTCCCAAGAGGGAAGTCCAGGGAAATTCACCTCCAGGGGCCTTCCGGGCACGCAGGCCTGCCTCCCCCCACCCCGGCAGGGCGTGCGGGAGTGGGCGGGCGTTGGTGCTAGAGGGGGTCCACGCGGGCGCAGGGGGAGGGGACACGCACGGGTTGGCGGCTGCCGCGGCCTCCACGCCGCCCCCTCTGGCCCCGATGGACGGCTCGTGGATCCCCAAGGCGGACAGGTGTCAGCACGCGCTTCGCGGCGGCAGCCGCGAGTGGCTGAGGAGTGAAACACTAGTCTGGAGGAATCCAAACGTGCAAACTGGGGAACCCGAGGTTTTCTAAGCCCATTCACGGCCGCGGGCGAGCCGTGATCAAGGTGCAGCCCGCCAGCCGAGCCAGCGATTGGCGGGTTCGCAGGTAAACCACGGGGAGGAGCCATTAAGTGACCTGGATGGTGGCTCCGAGTCCCGCAGTCCCTCTTTAGTCTTCTCCGGAGTCACTTAGGAAGGAAAAAAAAAAACGGAAAGAGGTGGGCCACAGGTTGCCTAGGAGCGCCTCGAGGGCCGCGGCCGCGGCGGCGCACGCCGAGACCTCCAGGCCTGGAGTCCCCGCGCAGGGGCTCAACAAAGACTTGTTGCACGCACTGAGGAGGAAGCCCAAGTGGGAAGATGGCGCGGTCGGGAGGCGCGCCCTGCAGGCCGGGCCGGGCTGGACCGGGCCTGCGCGCACCTCCCGGCGCCCGGTCCCCGAGGCGGCCCTCCACACCTCCTGGGATGCCGGGGGCTGCCAGGCGGCCCCGCGACACACGGCTGTGACTCATGCCTTTCCCTGGCTCCCCTTCTTCCTCCGGGGCCAGCGCGCAGTCCCCAGGACCACCCCCTCCCCGGGGGGCGAGCCGGAGGCGGCGGGGGCGCCGGGCACACCCCGCGCGGGCAGCGGAGGCGGGTGGGGAGCTGGAGGGGCCGGGCCTCCCAGTTGCAGGAATGCTTCAGGAATGTTTCCGGTGGGGTGGGGGTGGGGAGGGGACGGGCGGGCCGCGCGCCCAGCCCCCACCCGTGCCGCGGGACGGCGCCCTGGGCGCGGGGCAGCACGTGCTCGCTGGTGGGGGCGGGGCGCGGGCCGTGGGCGGGAAGGAGCCGTTGGTCGAGAGCGGGTTCAAAGGGGAGGCGGGCGCGGGCCTGGGGCAGCTGGGCCGGGCTGTGGGCCGGGGTACCGCCCTCCGCGCCGCACCCCGCCCCGCGCCCAGGTGAAAGGCTGCTCCCGAGGTGCCCCGGCCGCCCCTGGAGGGAAGAGGAAGTCACGGAGGGGCGGCCTGGGGGAGGGGGGCGGAGGGGAGGGGCGGCTGCCCCTTTGTCTGGAGGCGCGGTGGGGGTGGGGCGGGGTGGAAGCGCGCCGGTCCCTCCATCTTTGTGGCCCGCCACCGAGCGCGCGCCCAGTAGGCCGCGGGCGGCCCTGGGTGGAGGTCACCTGGCTCCCAGCTCCGAGGCCTTGGCGGCGGAGCGCGCCTTCTGCTCCTACCTGCTCCTGGCCCAGGCCACCGGCCTGCGCCTTCGAGAAGGCCTTTCCCGAGGCTCCCCGGGCCTCCCGGCCTCCGGGCCTGGGCTGTGGAGTGGAGACCCGCGGAGGGATGGAAGGGGCCAGGACCCACGAGCCCCTTCCCCCGGACGCCGCTCACCCCGGCCCCCCGGTGACAGAGGCTGACCTGCCACGGACTTCCTCCTCCGGTGGGCGGTGGGAAAACTTGGCCAACTTTTTGGGCCCACTCCTCGGCTAGCCGACTTTTATCTTTTTTTCTCTTAGGTTTCCCTTCGACCTGCTTTCCTCGCCGCCTTTTTTTTTTTTTTTTAAAACCTTGTGTGCATTTTTGTAAGCCACTCCAAACCCTCTGGAGAGAGCCAGGTAAAAATAAACGTGGGAAATAAATATAGCTGTTTGTTCTCTTTTGGTATTACCTACATCCTTGAAATCCAAGTAACCACTCTCCCTACTGACCCCCACATCCATGCTTGCTAGATTGCACATGTCCTGAATTCCTTCCCTTTCTTCCCTCTTTCAGTAAATAGTAAGCAAAAGAGTAAGATGAATTTCACGTCCAGAACGATCCACACCAGGATTAACAATCCAGGAGCTGTTACTAGGTTGAAAATATGTCCTTTATCATTTATTAAGAGCCTGCTTTCCTCATGGAGCTGCATATCACAAGCTTTTGGGGTACAAGCTAGGGAACAAAGCAGTTTCCTGCACTTTGTGGAAGTGTGTTGGGGGGGGGGGGGATGATGTACTTTAAAGAAAGACTTAGGAAAAGGGCAGAGAAGACCTGGAGATGTGTTCGGGTGGTTCTTCCAGGGATTTGAAAAGGAGAAGGGAGAAGGACCCTGTTGCAGCAAGGGGAAGGAAGCCATTCTAGGCTGGGACATGAGCCAGTGGTCAGGGTGGGAGGAAGGGTCTGGGAAAAGTAGGTATGGGAGAACAGGCCCACACACACACACACACACACACCAGGAAATACTTATGGATAACCAGAAGTGCTTTTTGTACAGTTTTCTCTGGGACTACAAGAGGAATGGGCAAGGAAAGGAGAGCTCTAGTTAACTTTTATTTCAAGACCCCTAAGTTCATTTTTTTAAGAAGACTGTATGAAAAGACAGGTGTAGATAGTTACATTTAGTGATCTAGCAAGTTATCCTCTGAAGGATATGACAATAAGGTGTGATAATGTGTTTGCCCAAGGTGGAAGGAGAATGGGAGGAAGAGAGGAGAAGGTCTAGAATTGTCTAACCTGTTGTCTGAACCATGATGCTGTTTTTTATGTGTGCCAGTCCCAGTCTTGCGGCTTGCATTCAAGGTCTAAGTGCTGTCTCTAAACTATTTTGTGCAAGGGTAGTGCTCTACCACTTAAGCCACAGCTCTACTTCTGGCTTTTTTTAGTGATTAATTGGAGATAATCTCAGACTTTCCTGCCCAAGGTGACTTTGAACCATAATCCTCAGATCTCAGCCTCCCCTTCTGAGTAGCTAGAATGACAACAAGTGTGAGCCATTAGCACCTGGCTTCAAAATTCTTTTTTTTGGGGGGTGGGGTGGGGGAGTGGGGGGGTACAATCATACAGCTTCAACTCAGGGTCTAGGTACTGTCCATAAGCTCTTTCACTCGAGGCTAGCACTCTACCACTTTAAGCTGCAGCTCCACTTCTGGTTTTCTGGTGATTCATTGGAGATAAGAGTTTCCACAGTCTTTCCCCCTGGGCTGGTTTTGAACCATGATCCTTAGATCTCAGCCTTCTGAGTATTTAGTTTGTTTTTTTGGGTCTGGTCATGGGGCCTGAACTCTGGGCCTGGGTGCTGCCCCTCAGCTTTTCAGCTCAAGGCTAACGCTCTACCACTTGAGCCACAGCGCCACTTCCAGCTTTTTTCTTTTTGCTTATGTGGTGCTGAGGAATCAAACCCAGGGCCTCTGGCGTGCAAGGCATGCGCTCTACCACTGAGCCACCTTCCCAGCCCCCTTCTGAGTATTTAGGATGAGTCACTATTCTGTGGTAGAGCTTGATGGTAAACTATTTGTACATGTAGCATGTATAAAGCTCTGAGTTACATCCTCAGCACTGTCTCTCTCAAACACACACACACACACACACACACACACACACACACACACAGTAGCTGGAGGTGGCAGCACATACCTGAATCCTGACACTTGGGAGGTTAGGGCAGGAGGATGGCCAATTCAATGCCAGCCTCAAAAAGCAACAATAAATGAATAAGTAATAAAGTAAACCTTTCTACTCATAACAAGTTGATAGCTCACAACTAATATATTCAGAAAATGCACAAATTGTAAGTGCTTAATTCAATGCATTTTACCAAGTGAACACCTGTACGTCACCAGAAATAGCTCTGCAGCCTTTCCCTATGACCAGCATCCCACCTGTTTATGTCTGCGTGCCATGGAGTTCTGTGGCATGTGCTCTCTTTGGGCTAGTTTCCTTCCTCACTGTTAGGTCTGCAAGATTCATCTGTGCTGTCGCATGGGGTTGCAGAGTCCTCACAGCTGCCTGGTTACAGGGTGTGAATGTACCGCTACATATTTATCCTTTCTGTTCAGGGAAGTTTGGATAGTTACTGATTCAGGAAGTTACACATAGTACTGCCATGAGTGTTCTAGAATGTCTTGGTGAGTAAACGTGCACATTTCTGTTGGGTGCATGCCTAGGAAAGGAATTGCTGGATCACGGGATCTGTATGCTTGCCGTTAGTAGACACTTCCGAGTGAAATGGAGCACTATTAATAGTTACAAGCAAACAGGCGTGAACTTGACCTGGCCCCTACCAAGCAAGCCAGGGGAAGGGTCACCGGGCATGCAGCCTTTGACCACTCTCCTGGAGAGTTACCCAGCTACTGGTGCTTCTGGTCATCTGGCAGGATCAGGCCCTCCAGGCCCTGCTGACCACAAGCACTGCTGCCAGGAAGCCTGGCAGGCCTAGAGTGGGAGGAGGGCCTTTTCTGGTTCCAACTTTCGAGGGAAAAACTCTCAAGTGAAAAGGAGGGCCCAAAAGGCTAGTACCTCTCTGCCTTCCTGCTGTGAGCCGCCCACCCATCCTGCATGGCCCCAAGACTGCCTGGGTTTTTATTTTGTTCTTTAGGAAAGCTAGTACCAGTCTAGCCACTGGGGGAAGAAAAAGTGGAACTGATTAGCTTGGACTATATGCATAATAATAATCTTTCAGGATTTGGGAAGATGGCTCAGTGGTAGAGTG